CGGTTGAGCTATAGGCGCCGAGCCCACTTCTGCCTTTTTAATATACTTTTTCTTCTTTTTTCTTGTTTTTTAGAGATAGGGTTTTTGTCTGTCACCTAGGCTGGAGTACATTGGTGTGATCATGGCTCACTGCAGCCTTGAACTCTTGACCTCAAGGTGATCTTTCCATCTCAGCTTCTCAAGTAGCTAGGGGTACAGGTGTGTGCCACCATGGCCGGCTGATTTTTTTTTTTTGAGACAGAGTCTTACTATGTTGCCTCTGTAGAGCACTGTAGCATCATAGCTCACAGCAACCTCCAACTCCTGGGCCCAAGTGATCCTCTTGTCTCAGTCTCCCAAGTAGCTGGGATTACAGGCGCCCACCACAATGTACCTCTAGTTTTTAGAGATGGGGTCTCGCTCTGGCTTAGGTTGGTCTTGAACTTCTGACTTCCAGCAATCCACCCATCTCAGCCTCCCAGAGTGCTAGGATTATAGGCTTAAGCCACCATGCCTGGTCCAGCCAGCTGATTTTTAAAAAAATATTTTTTGTAGAAATGGGGTCTTGCTATGTTGGCCAGGCTAGTCTTGAGCTCCTGGCCTCAAGTGATCCTCCCACCTTGGCCTCCCAAAGTGCTGGGATTGCAAGCATGAGCCACTGTGCCCAACTATATACACTATTATTTCTCTTTCTTTCCCCCCTTTTCTTCTTTTTTCCCCTCCTCCCCCCTCTCCCTCCTCCTTTTTTCTTAGAGCATCAGTTTCTTGAGCACCATCCTATATAGTCGTTGGTCTCAAGTTGACTAAAGAGTAGAGCCTCCAGCACGGGCATGGCACTTAGTAGATGCTCAGGTTCTTGATCTCTCCTTTGCTGCCCTTCCCTCCTTCAGGACAGGCAGGGCATCTTCTGGATAGGGAACTCAAGGATGGAGAGGGTGGGACTGTTGAGTCAGCCTGAGCTAAGGCCTCCTTACCCTCAGGTGCTTCTGCCTAGCATTGGACAGGCCCACCCGAAAGTCACAAAATCCACCCCCCACTGGATGGGAGACTTGCTGCTCTGGGTTTGGACCAACACAGCCCTTGGGCCATGAGGCAGGCACAGCTCCTTTTGGAGTCTCTGTTTCCTCATTATCTTATGAATCTTCAGAATAGGGAATATTAATAAAAGAAAGTAGGTAAAAATGCTTTATAGAGGATGATTTATGACATAATAGGCATATAATTATAGCTTGCTTTTATATACTCTTTTGTATTGAAGCAAAATTTACGTATCATGTAATTAACCATTTTAAGTGAACAATCAGTGGTATTTAGTGTACTCCTAACGTTGTGCAACCACCAGCTCTTTCTAGTTTCAAAATTTTTAATTGCCCCATGAAAATCCCTATATTTATGAAGTATTCACTTTCCATTTCTTCCTCCCTCCTACCCTCTGATAACCTCACATTTACACTCTTTCTTTGGATTTGTCTATTCTGAGTATATCATATAAGAGGAATCACATAAAATGTGGCCTTTGGTGTCTGGTGTCTTCCACTCAGCACCATGTTTTTGAGGTTCATTCATGTTAAAGCTGGTGTCAGTGCTTCATTTCTTTTTTTTTTTTTTTGACACTCTTTTGCCCAGGCTAGTATGCCATGGTGTTATCATAGCTCAGTATAACCTCAACTCCTGGGCTCAAGTGATCCTCCTGCTTCAGCCTCCTGAGAAGTTGGAACTATAGGCTCACACCACTGTGCCCAACTAATTTTTCTTACTGTTTTGTAGAGACGAGTTCTTACTATGTTGCTCAGGCTGTCATTCCTCTTTATGGATGAATAATACTGCCCTGGAGGGATGGGCCCCATTTTGTTTATCCATCCATCCATTGATGGGCTAGGGTGCTGTGAACCATGCTACTATGAGCATATCTGTTCAAGTTTTTGTGTGATGATATGTTTTCATTTCTCTTAGGCAGATACCTAAAAGTAGAACGGAACTAACACCACTCTGTCAGCCATGACCTGTCAGGTCATATGGTAATTCTATGTTTAACTTTTTAAGGAACCATTTTGCTGTCTTCCACAGTGGCCATGCATTCATTTTTTCACCGGTTGGGCACCTAAGTATTCATCTCACAAGTTTTTTAGGCAATAAGGACTCATTGCAATTATGGTAATAAAAATAGCCAACAGTTTGTCACTTACTCATTCATGTACACACATATTCAATGAGCAGCCACCCTGTGCCAGGAACATTAGCTTATTGAGTCACATAGAGATGCTACGAGGGAGGATTGTTCGATTTCCTCTTTTGGTGGTAATAACATGTCCAGACTCACATATCTAGTTAGTTGCAGGGCTGGGATTTGAACCTAGAGCTAGCTGGCTCAGAACCTAAGTGTTCAACCACAGCTTCCTATTCAAGAACTGTTCCACACTGGGAACCAGGTGGAGGCTTTTCTTACAGAGTCTCCTCCAAAGAAGGCGTTCCTTCCCCTTTGTATTGGAGGGGGAACTAATGTGAGAGGTAACCTGGACACAGACTCTTCTAGTAACAAATGGTCAGGGTTGGAGTGGAGGAGGGACCTGGGGATGGGAGAGCTAGGATTTAGCAGGGAAAAGGGCTTGAAGAAGGCTTCTTGAAGTTAGGCCTTGAAGGATGCATAGGGATTTGCCAGGTGAGGAGTCCCAAATGGAGGGTACTGCCAGTGAAAAGAAGGAGGTGTATGAAAGTTCCAAGTGAATTCAGGTACCTGTGATGACTGGAGTCAAGGTGATATGTCAGGGGTGGTAGAAAAAGACACCCAGAGTTAAGCAGACACTGGATTTCAAAGTGAATGAGCTTGTACTTTGTCCTGAGTGACAGGGAACCACAGGAGATGTTTGAGCAGGGAAGCCATTGACCTTCAAGGCTTACCGTCCTTTCCAGGAAGACTGCCCTGACTTCCAACAGCCCTTTGATGTGTCTTTGCTTTCCTTTCTCACCCTACCTGGGAGCTCCTCCTTCAGTCAGGGTGTGGTGCTGAGCCATCGCTGGGTCCCCAGCTTCCCCCAGCATGGGTTGGGCACAGGAAGGCAGCAGAAGAGGTGTGTTGTGTGGGAGAATGAGAAGGCAGATGACGAGGCAAGCAACCGGCAAATTCTTGGGGTGCATGTGTGTATTTAGGTGGCTGAGTCACATTCAGGCAAAAGTAATGTTGCCCGAGTTTTAGGTGTTTCCTTCTTGGGCTCTGCCCTTTCAATCCTGAATTTGTTAAGTTTATAGAAGGAAGATCCATCCATTTATTCTTCCATTCATCTATTCCCTGATTGATTGATCCACTTATTCAATAAAAAATTTTTTGAAACAGGGTCTTACTCTGTCACCTTGAATAGAGTGCAGTTGGATTATCTTAGCTCACTGCAACCTCAAACTCCTGGGATGAAGCAATCCTCCCGCTTCAGCCTCCCAAATAGCTGGGACTATGGCATGTGCAATGATGCCCCACTAATCTTTTTACTTTTAGTAGAGAAGGAGTCTTGCTCTTGCTCAGGCTGTTCTCAAACTCCTGAACTCAAGCAATCCTCTTGCCTTGGCCTCCCAGTGTGCTAGGATTACAGTCAATAAAAATTTCTTGAGCATCAATATATATCAGTGACCAATATGGCCTCTCCCCTCAAGGGGCTTGTAACATGGTGAGTGCAACAAAGAATAATTGGTGGAGAGAGGGCATCCAAGTTGAGAGCAGACGATGAGGGAAGAGATGTTTGGGACCAAGAGAGCAGCTAGTGGAAAGATTTAGAGCAGAGAGAGCACAAAACCTTTGGGAGGAACTGAGAAAAATTCTGATGTTAGTTCTGTGATGTTGAATGGGAGGTAGTGGAGGATAGAGGTGTCCTGAGAGAGGTCTGGACAAGAGAAGATCATTCAGGGCTTTGAAAACGGGATGAGTGGCTGGTGCATGAGGGTGATGGGTGTGTGAGCAGGAACACATACCTGGTCAGATAAGATCCCCGTGGAGCCAGCATGAGAGACAGACTAGAGAGGACGAGGCTGGAGGCTGGGAGCACAGAAGGTGTGATTCAGATGGCCTGAGCTAGTTGGATAAAGGAGGGTGGATGTGGGGGAGATTCAAATAATGAAAGCGATTCTGGAAAGAGAGCACAGTGTGGCCAGAGGTTCAGAGGGGCGTGATAGCCTGCCATGGGAATGGGGTTATCTGGTGTATGTTGAAGGATGACATGGGAGAGACATACAAGGGTCTGATGGGGCAGGGCCTTTAATGCTGGGCTGAACTGGAACTTTTTTTACAAGAGTAGTGGGGAGCCATGGGAGGTATTTGAACAGGGTAAGTTCATGTTCAGATCAGTGCGTTATAGGGAACTTCACAGGGCAAGTGTGGAGGATGGATTGGCAGCGTGAGGTGGGATGTGAAGCCCAGAGAGGAGGCCCCGGGAAGTTGTAGTCAAAAGTCAGTGGTCAGAAATCTGTTCTGAGTCATCATTGTAACTCCACAGCTGCCATCGCCCCCAAGGATGACCTTTTCTATGGCTTCCTAAAACCATGGCTAGGTGAGTGCCAAGTGGGCAGACGGGCTGGTGCTTCAGGGAATAGAGATCTGGGTGTGGGGTTCCTTGGAGGGTTTTAGAGTAACAGGCAAGGCCTCTAACTTTAGTCCTCTGGGCCCAGGGGATGGGCTGCTGCTCAGCAAAGGTGACAAGTGGAGCCGGCACCGCCGCCTGCTGACACCTGCCTTCCACTTCGACATCCTGAAGCCATACATGAAGATCTTCAACCAGTGCACTGATGTCATGCATGTGAGTCCTGGGAGTGAGACTGGTCTGGGCTCCAACGCACATGCAAGTCATATGATGTCAGAAGGCCTCACTTCTTTCTTTATCTATAAAATGGGCCGCCAGATCCTTGTTAGGCCAGCTCCCCATCTGTGGTCTCCACACCCACTTACCATGTGCCTTTTTTCCAGGCTAAATGGCGGCGTTTGGTGGAGGGCTCGGTGGTTTCTCTTGACATGTTTGAACATGTCAGCCTCATGACCCTGGACAGTCTTCAGAAGTGTGTCTTCAGCCACAACAGCAACTGCCAAGAGTGAGTGTGACCTTCCTTGGGAAGGTGGAGCCCCCTGCTTCAGGGGGAAGGTGGTAGCAGAAGAAAGGGAACTCCCAGGTGTTAGGCAACCCTGGGCAGCAGAAGCTCTGCCCCAATAGTCTATGTGTGGTTCTAGGAAATGGACACCACCTCTCTGAGCCTTAGTTTCCTTATTTAAGAAATGGACAGCACAATTCCTTTTCTGTAGTCATCATGGGAGAATTAAATGAGATTGTGTGAGTCACTGGCTTGACATATAGTAGGAGCTCAGGAAGTGTGAGTTTTCTTTTCATTCTTTCACGAAGAGCATGTGATCTTTCCACAGTGTCTCCTCCACCCTCATTTTCTGAGCTTCACTTTTCTTGTTTGTAAAACAAAGATGATAATGTTTGGCTCTTTGAGCGAAGCTTTAAGAGTGAATATTTGTTGCACTGATTTGGCATATGGTAGATGCTCAGGGAATATTTGTTGAGTAATTAAATAAAATAAGTAAAAAAAAATAAAATAAGTATTCCCCTGGTTTGTTGTGTATTTGTTGTGTACCTACTATGTGCCTAGCACTATGATAAGTGCTGAGAATATAGCTATGAGCAACAAACAGTCACAGTTCCATGGGGTTTATAGTCTAAGTGGAGATATAAAGAACAAAGGAGAGGGCAGTGCCTGTGGCTCAAAGGAGTAGGGTGCCGGCCCCATATACTGGAGGTGGCGGATTCAAACCTAGCCCTGGCCAAAAACTGCAAAAAAAAAAAAAAAAAAAAAAAAATAAGGAAGATAGTGAAAGTAAAGTCTATAACAAACAGTAGGTTCTCAGTAACAAGCTGACGACTTTGTTTCTTTGGGGAATGTAGGGATATATCTTGGTTGGAGGAGGCAGAGATGACCTTAGTAATTAATTACTTAATTAATCCAAGAGCTATTTACCGAATGCATACTATGTGCCAATTCTGGATTAGGTATTGAAAATACAGTAGTCAACAAGACAGACAAAGATCTGCTCTTCAGGAACTTAAATTTTGGAGGGAAGACAAGCAGTTAACCATGAACAAATAAAAAAATGAGAAAATGACAGACTATAATACATGCATGTAAACATGCTCCAGTCAGGACTAAGGACAGCTCCTTGCAAACCTGCTTCACTTAATTTTATTTAACAATTTAATTTGACATTTACTTATTTATTTATAGACACAGGGTCTCATTCAGTTACATAGGCTGGAATACAGAAATGCACCGCCACGCTGGCTAAGGTTTTTGATTTTTTGTAGAGACAGGATGTCTCTCTATGTTGCCTAGGCTGGTTAGAGTTTCTCAAAGTACACAACTGAATTAGTTTTAGTATATTCAGAGTTACGCAACCATCGCCATAATCAGCTTTAGAATATTTTCATTGGGTGGTGCCTGTGGCTCAGTGAGTAGGGCGCCGGCCCCATATATTGAGGGTGGCGGGTTCAAACCCAGCCCTGGCCAAACTGCAACAAAAAATACCTGGGTGTTGTGGTGGGTGCCTGTGGTCCCAGGTACTCGGGAGGCTGAGGCATGAGAATTACCTAAGCCCAAGAACTGGAGGTTGCTGTGAGCTGTGATGCTACGGCACTCTACCAAGAGGGACAAATGAGACTTTGTCTCTAAAAAAAATAAAAAATAAAGAAATAACAGCTAGGCATTGTGGAGGGTGCATGTTGTTCCAGCTACTTGGGAGGTGGAGACAAGAGGATCACTTGAGCCCAAGAGTTTAAGGTTGCTGTGAGCTATGGCACCATGGTACTCTACTAAGGGCAGTAAAATGAGACTCTGTCTCAAAAAAAAATAATATTTTCATCATTCCCAAAGAAACCCCACACACTTTAGCAGTCCCTGCCCTCCTCTTTCTTCATGGCTAGGCGATCACCAATTTACTTTCTGTCTCCATAGATTTGCCTATCATAGATGTTTCACAAAGATAGACTCGTTTTACTCAGCATGAAATTTCTAAGATTCATCGATGTTGCAGCAAGCATCTGAAATTTATTTCTTTTCATTGCTGAATAATATTTCATTCATCACATAATACCATGAATTGTTTCATCATTCACCCATTGATAAACATTATTTTCATTTTTTGACTATTAAGAATAATGCTGCTATAAACATTCTTATATAAGGTTATGTGTAAACATATATTTTTAATTTTCTCTTAATATCTAGAAGCAGAACTGCTAGGTCATATGATAACTTCGTCTTTAACCTTTTGAGGGACTTCCAGACTTTTTTTCACAGAGTGATTGCACCATTTTGCTTTTCCAACCAGTGGTGTATGAGGGTTCCAATTTCTTCTTCTCCTCTTCCTCATCCTCATCCCGCTTCATCATCACAATCCTAAATTTTATGCAGAGGGTTCCAATTTCTCCACACCCTCACGAACACTTGTTTTTATTTGTCTTTTTGATTCTAGCCATCCTGCTGGGGTAGAGTGACATCTCACGGTGGTTTTGACTTGATTTCCCTGATGATTAATGATGTTAAGCATCTTTTCACTTGCTTATTGGTCATTTGTTTATCTTGTTTGGAAAAATGTCAATTCAGATCCTTTGTCCGTTTTTAAATTGGGTTATTTTCTTTTTTATTAGTAAGTTTTAAGAGTTCTTTATCTAGTTTAGGTACTCTTACTTTATCACACATATTGATTTGCAAATATTTTCTTCCACTCTGAGGGTTTTAGCCATTTGGTTTTAGTGATGCTATGATTGCTATATCCCTATCACTCTTTGGGTCTGAGATTTTGGTTTTATTCAAGTATGGTGAGGCCTGCGGATCAGGGAATCATTGATGTTTAAAAGCTAGTTTGTTTTTTATAGTTCCCAAGAAGAGGAGGCATATTACAGCATGCAAGGCCACACAGGGAAGTACTAGAATCAGTCATGAGAAAACATGGGCAAAAGCCTTTTTGTGTAGTTTCCATGAGAATGAATGGGTGAGGCAGGGTAAGGAGGCTTAGGATTGGGCAGTTTGAATAATTTCACTAGGCTCTGTGGTACGTGGGAGCTGCATTTAGTTGTCTGGTACCCAGCCCTTGGGTGATTGAGGCAGGGGGATAGTGACTTGGCCTGATTAAGGCTAGAGTATGTGTTCAGCACTGGTTAGTTTGTGTATGAAAGGCATGATCTTGGATGAGTTTTTTTTTTTTTTTTCTTAATGACAGAGTCTTGCTGTGTCACTTGGGCAAGAGTTAAGTGACATCATCATATCTTGCTGCAATCTCCAGTGCCTGGACTCAAGGGATCCTCCCACCTCACCCTCCTGAACAGTTGGGACTACAGGCGTGAACCACCA